ACACACACACACACACACACACACACACACAAATCACATTTTCTTGATCCATTCATCCACCAAGGAGCATCTGGGTTGGTTCCATATCTTAGCTATGGTGAATAATGCTGCTATAAACACAGCTGTGATGGTAGCTTTAGTATAGCCTTGTTTGTGATCATTCCAATAACATTCTTTAATGAAATAGAAGAAGCAATCCAGAAATTCATATGGAATAATAGAAAACCTTGAATAGCAAAAAGAATCCTCAGCAGGAAGAACAGTGACGGAGGAATATCAATATCAAACTTCAAACTCTATTATAAAGTTGTTGTTATAAAACAGATTGGTACTGGCACAAGAACAAGCCTGACGACCAGTGGAATAGAATTAAAAACCCAGACATGATCCCACAGACCTATGGCTCCCTACCTAATCTTTGATAAGAAAGCCAAACCATCAGATGGAAGAACGACAGCCTCTTCAGCAAATGGTGCTGACAGAATTGGTTATACAACATGTAGAAATCTCAAATTAGATCCTTATATATCATTCTGCACCTGAATGAACTCAAAATGGATCAAAGACCTCAGGGTAAAAGTAGGAACCCAGAAAATATTGCAGGAAGGGATAGGGAGTACACTAGGACTCCTTGGCACAGGTCGAAATTTCCTAAATAAAGATCCAGAAACACAACAAATCCAAGAAAGGCTTGATAAATAGGATTGCCTGAAACTGTAGAGCTTCTGCATGGCAAAGCACATAGCTAGCAAGATCAATAGCCCACAGATTGGGAGAAAATCTTCACTAGTTATATAACAGACAAGGGCCTCGTATAAAAAATGTACCTAGAGCTCAAAAAAAAAATTAAACTTCCCAATAAATAAATCCTCAAAAAAGCTACCACCACATTAGTTACTGGACTGAAGAATTAAAAAGAGACTTCTCTGGAGAAGAAATAATAATGGCCAATAGACACATGAAGAATTGTTCAACATCTCCTGCCATAAAAGAAATGCAAATCAGAACCTCATTAAGATTCCACCTCACCCCAGTTAGAATGGCCATCATTAATAGTAGGTACAGGTGGGGATGTGGCCAAAAGGGAAAGGGGATGTAAACTGGTTCAACCACTCTGGAAAGCTGTGTGGAGGTTCATTAGAAGCTAAATACAGAACTACCCTAGGATCCAGTCATCCCACTCCTGGGCATTTACCAAAATGATCACATACAAGACAACACTAAAGCCATCAACACAACTATGTTCATTGCAGCATTATTTACCATAGTTAAGATATGAAACCAACCTAGATGACCCTCAGTGGATGAATGGATCAAGAAATATGGTATATATACACAATGGAATTCTATGCTTCCATCAGAAAATGGAAGACTTGGAAAAATCATATTAAGTAATGTGAGCCAGACCCAAAGAAACATAGGCTCCATGGTTTCCCTCATTTGTAATAATTAGGATATGTCTAGGATAGTCTTAGCGCAGGATCATAATAGTTCAATAGCTATGTACATATGACCATGTAAGATGATGCTAATCGAAATGAATTCCAAAGTATGTAAACAAGAGGTGTCTTGGTTTTTTGGGTTGTTAATTTTTAATGTACTGTGTTAGGTTACTCCTTTTTTCTTTCATTTTTTCCCCTTCGGTTTATCCCCTGATGTCACTGTTTTTGATTTGGGTACCCTGTGACTTGTTTATATATTTATCTGATTTGGGGAAGGGAAAGGAACAGCAAAATGGTAAGACAAAGGACAAGGGGTGAACCAATGCAACTGTGATATTCACAAGACACTATGTTGGAAATGAACTTTACAACTTGGGGAGGAGGAAAAGTGGGAGAAAAAAATGAGGGGGGGTAACAATGTTCGACAAGAAATGTACTTATTATCTTTCTTATATAACTGTAACCCCTCTGTACAACACCTTTGCAATCAAATTAACTTTTAAAAAATAACCTATTTTGGAATTACTTAACTTCTTTTATTTCCCAAGCAGCACACCCTCCTCCTGCTAATCCCCATCCACTCATAGTCTCTTTCTTCTCCCTAATACCCTGATCATTTGGATGTGACACATTATTTTTTAATCTCCATGTTCAAATTGTAAAGCTCTTATGAAATCTACTTAAAGTCAGCATTACTTGAAGGGGAAGGTAATGAAGTAAGTTATGTCCTTAGGTCTGAAGTCTGACAGAAGTAACATCATTTTGTCCCCAAGGAAAAAGACAGACCCTTGACCCTAGAACTGTTGCTTGTTCAAGTAGGTTTTACAAACAGAACTGTTTGTTCAGCAAGTTCTGCAAAAAAAAAAAATCCCCTAAAATGTTCTAGCTGCCCAGTGTTTTAGGACATCTAATTTTACTTCCACTGCTTAATTTTGCTTCTGTATAAGCTTTGCAACACAAAGAAAAAAAATGCGGTTTGTGTCTTTAAAAGACTAAATGAGCTGTCTTGGTGCTCCTTGATTTGGTAAGCCTATACCCCATGCAGCTGCTGGCCTTTGGAGGTGACAATACAGACTCCTACAATTTGGCTTATTAATTAGGCAGCCTTTGTTTTCTTGCTGATTGGGATACAACAATAACTTGAAAAGACATCCCTTACCAACTGAAAATCAGCTATAATTCCTATCTACCATAAAAGAATTTAACATGGACGCTGCTGACTTGTACCTATATACCTAGCTACTGAGATCTGAGGATCACAGTTTAAAGCCAGCTCTGGCAAGAAATTACATGATACTTCTATTATCTCCAATTAACCAGCAGAAAGCCTGAAGTACAGTTGTAGTTCAAAGTGGTACAGTACTATCCTGGAGTGAAAAAGCTCAGGGACAGCACTCAGCTGTTGAAAAATTTATCAACCTAAAATTTGATACTTAAATTTAAAAATAGAAACATCCCAATACACAAGAACAGTCTAGACAACTCTTATTATCCTCTTCAAATGTAAGCAATGTTAGTTCTAGTAGCACATGCCAGTAATCCTAGCACCTTGAAGGAAGGCATAAGAATCAAAGTACAGCTTTGGCTACATAGTAAAACTCTGTAGATAGATAAAATTAACTAGCATGCTTTAACAATTATTTACTGTAAAAACAATCTTAATTCATTGCCAAAGTATCCGTATGGAAATGCAAACACAGAGGGGAAAAAAAAACATTACTTTTGAAGAACATTATTGTTTCTAAAATGCTCAAAAAAATAAAAAAAGTATAGCCTAAGAGCTTCTGAAAAACAGTGTTTTACCTTAGCACTATTTTCATGGCAGAAATGCTTGACAACTTCCAACAGTGGAGCCAGCATAGTAGCTTTTCCTTCAGAAACACCATCGATCTGTTTTACATCTTCAACAGTAGTTGGTCTGTCATTGAAAAAAACAGAAAATCAGGAAACCAAGGTGCTATACAGCAAAAAAAAAAAAAAAAAAGATTTAACAGTGAAAAAAAACCACAATGTCCTCTTTCACAACATTATTTAGGTATTAACTGATAAACAGGCCATTACCAGAAAGAAACAGGATAACACCTAATGTTCTACATTATTACTGGATATTATTATTATTATTATTCACAGAAATAAAAAAACTCCTAAGTTTGAGGGAAGTTAAAAACTTCCAGAAAAAAATGTCTCATTCATTGTTTCACTTTCTACAAAATGTTTATCTGTAAGAACCACGATTTTTGCTCCATTTTTTAAAATTTTAGATTGTGCTTTTAAGTCTATAACACTAGTTCGTTTACACTTTTAATGGTTATATCATAATAGAAACTGCATGATAAATTTGTGTGTGTGCCAGTACTGGGTCTTAAACTCAGGGACTGGTATTCTTATTTAGCTTTTTTTTAGCTCAAAGTTAGCACTCTACCACTTGAGCCACTCTCCACTTAGAACTTTTTGTTAGTTAACTGGATTGTCTGCCTGACCTAGCTATGAACCAATATCCACAGATCTCAATAGCTAGGATTACAGAAGTGAGTCAGTGCTTGGCTTGTTGGTAATTTTTAATACTTAAACAATGACCTCTTGAATGATGTAGGCTCAATAATTTTTATTGTGTTCAACATTCAAGACTGTATGATGATTAATTTCATTTTCCTTAAACACATGCTGAGAATATAAAAATGTACTCATAATATATTTCATTTTTAACAAATTACTTATTATAAGGTATGTTCAATTTGTAATATCATTAGAATATCCCACAATAAAGTAGTTATCTATTGAATAAAATGTTGAAGCAGAAACAAGCTAGACATGGTGGTGCTTGCCTATAAACTCAGCTTCTTGGGAGGTAAGGGCAAGAAGATCACAAGTTTGAGGACAGCAAGGCTGAAGTTATTGAGACCCTATCTCAAAAACAACATTAAAAACAAGGTCATAGCTCAAATGATAAAATGCTTGCTAGCATGCATGAAGTCCTGAGTTCAATCTTCAGTACAGAAAAAAGAAAAACTTAATAGGCAGGCACTCTTCCAGTTGAGCTACATCTTAGCCTGTTAGTATTTTTTAGGTTCTTTTCAGTACTATCTTTCTAGTACTATCCTCAGACTGTAACCTTCCTATCTACTGTCTTTCTGGGATGACAGAACATGTGTCAGAACATAAATCCTTTACCTCAATTTGGCCATATCCAACAGTATCTTATTTGTTGCCAGAATAGCTGGAGGAACATCCATTTTATTTGCATATTTCTGTCTAGCTTCTACCAATTTGCCGTATAACACAGTCTAAACAACAACAGCAAAAAGAAAGAAAGAAATCAACACTTTCTTAAATGTACTTCAACTTCAGCTTTTATTTTTAGAGCTTCAGCTATCACATTTTCCCTTAACATGAAAATACTCTGAACACTATCACAGATTCTTACCAGAAGAACACCTTTTAAAATCTTGTCAACAGAATTTTAAGGATGCAAAGAATACTAACAAAATTCTTATAAACCAACTTTTTATAGAAGATTTACCTGAGCCTCTTGTTCTTGAGCTGAAAGAGCTGGTTCTGCAAGATGGTCACATTTTCCCGGTGACTGAATCATGATTCTAAAATATTTCAAAGAAAATAAGCAATATGAAGCTTTTTCTTCTAGTTTAACTTTTCTTTGGCCTACAGAATGAAAATATCTTTCCAAGTCAGTAATGACAGTTGTTCTTCAGAACACCAGAAAGATAATTTGTTACTTAAACATTTTGAATCAAATCTATTTACTATAATGGTAAAGTTAAAACTGCAATTTGAATTTTTTACACAATGGGAAACTTAAGAAGAGCATCTGACCAGACGCCAGTGGCTCACACCTATAATCCTCGCTACTCAGGAGGCATCTTGGTTCAAAGCCAGCCCAGGCAGGAAAGTCCGTAAGCCTCTTATCTCCAATAAACCACCAGAATACCAGAAGTGGTGCTGTGACTCAAGTGGTAGAGTGGTCACCTTGAGCTGAAGAGCTGAGACAGTGCCCAAGACTTGAGTTCAAGCCCCACGACTGACAAGAAAAAACAAAACCAAACAAAAAGAGCATCTGTCCCATCTGAAAGAAAATACTTCTTATCCAAACAAAAAATAATACATTTAGGAGAATGGAAGTATAATCCATGATTCCTACTGTTAAAAAAACTGAATTTTTGATTGGTGGGAAAAATTAATAAACATAAAATTATTCAGAACTCTTTCAAAATCAATGAAGTAAATCTAAAGTAAACTAAGTGATTTAGTTTTGGATCCCTCAAGAGAAGAATATGCACCTAACTAGCAATCTTGTAATAAAATGTGCGAGGCAAAATAGTAGATATTCTATAAGAGCCATCTTTCACTGATTAACTAGAAACAGCAAAAGTTATTAAAGTGGAATTGTGTACAATAAACTACATGAATTAGAATTTAAGTAAACTCTTGCTTCTTACAAATAAGGGAGAAAATATGGCTAATATTTAAGAAATGTTGACAAATGTCTTTATTGTAAGAATTGAGAAACTATGGTGTAAAATAAGATTTCAAGGCTAGGCATAGTGTCAAACATTTGTAATACCAGCAACAAGGACACTGAGGTAAGAGGATAAACTTAAGACTGGTCTGAGCTACACAGAGGCACCCTATCTCAAAAAGCTGCTCAAAGTACAATTTATACATGTATGAAAATAGTATAATGAAACCCCTTAGATCAATTACTCTACACTAATGAAAATTTAAAAACAAAAATAGCTGACAACTGCTTTTCTAGCTCTTTGGAAGGCTGAGATTGGCAAGGGTCACAGTTCAAAACTAGCCCAGACAGAAAAGTCTAGGAGATTTGATTTCCAAAATAAACACCAAAAAGCTGGAGGCATGGCTCAAGTTCAGTGAGTATGAGACTTTGAGTTCAAAGGACTGACCAAAAAAAGGGAAAAATAGAAATAATAAAGAAGTAAGATAGTTTTCATTTCCACATTTATCAAAATCCTACCACTTATATAAACTTGAATGTGAGGAACAATGACAGATCAAAGAATTGGTAATATAATATTAATCAAGAAAATTATAAATTCGCCATAATATAGTAAATCTTTAAATGAAGAAATGCTTACTAAACTTTTCATGTACTAGTTATTACATGCCACATATTGAAAACAAAAAAGAAAAGCTGTTTAGGATGGGAAAAGGGATATGGAAAACATCTGTGGGTCCAAAGGAGTGTTATTTAAATAGACAAAGCTTTAGAATGAACATATAAATTTACTATAATGTGATATGAATGTAAATATTACCCACTTAGTCTGTGTACATATAAGACATGACAACTTTTTCAAACCCTGTTTCTCAGGTCTCTGGAATTCTATATACATTTTCATAAAGTCAGCCAGTCACAGAGTAACCTGAAAAAGAATACCTCATTTTTCTCTAGCTCAGTTTCCATATTATGACTACAATGTACTTTCTTTTAAATATGGTAGAATATATTTCTTGTAAATATAGTAACAACGTTAGATACTAGAGGCAGAAAAATACATATCTGAAAGCCAGTAAACTACATAAGTGTTGGTATCTTTGACTACAGAACAGCAATAGCAATTTTACTCATCAATTAGAATAATGATATTGTATCATTTGTAAAGAAATGGAAGAACTGGAAACAATATGTTCAGTGCAGTAAGTCATGCCCAGAGAAACAAAGGCTGCATGTTTTTCCTCACCTGTGGAAGCCAAAATTAGCTAATAAACATTATGTTGGGTGGCATGCAAATGTATTAGCTGAAATGATGGTAGATTCAAGGGAAATCTTGAATAGTATAATTCCTTATAAAGACCAAGTTAAAGTGCAACAAAATAAACCCAGGAAGTGGGTACATGAAAGGAGTGCCATGGGCCAAAGAGGGAGGGTTAGACAAAGGAAAAGGAGAAGGGGGAATGGGGATGAAGCCAAGAATGTATGTATATCCTACAAAATTAAGAAAAGTAAAGGAGACCAGGTGCTGCTGTGGTTAAAGCCAGCCCTGGCAAGAAAGTCAGTGACACTCTTATATCCAATTAACCACCAGAAAACCAGGAGTGGTGCCGTGGCTCAAAGTGGTAGAGAGCTATCCTTCAACAAAAGAGCTCAGGGACAGGGCCTAGGCCCAGGTCAAGCCCCACAACCAACTAAAAAAGAAAAAAAAAGAAAGCATTAAAAAAATAATAATAATAAATTAAAAAAAAGCAGCCGGGCATTGGTGGCTCACGCCTGTAATCCTAGCTACTCAGGAGGCTGAGATCTGAGGATCACAGTTCAAAGCCAGCGCGGGCAGGAAAGTCCGTGAGACTCTTATCTCCAATAAGCCACTAGAAAACCAGAAGTGGCATTGTGGCTCAAGGAGTAGAGCACTTGACTTGGGCTGAAGAGCGCAGGGACAGTGCCCAAGCCCAGAGTTCAAGCCCCACAACTGGAAAAAAAAAAAAGTGAGGGACTGGATGTGTTGAGCAGGTAAGATTTTTAAAAATATAGCTAACCAAAGGTTGCTCTAAAAAGTAAATGAGTATACATAGTAGTAACTAACCTGTAGCTGATTTTAAGAATTAAATGAGATGTCATATATAAAGTGCCTCATATTTAACACAAAACATGGCAAACACTAATATTCAAAATCTGTCAGATGTTAAACTAATATTATCATTGTATATGCTGTTTTAATAATCACAATATTAGTAGGATTACAATTTAACTTTGACTTCCTTTTGCCAATTCAGTCCAACATGTGAAAATCCTTTGTCTGTAGGAAAGAAAAGTAAATAGTACTGAGAATACATAAATATAGGAAATAAGCATTTAGAGCTCTGTACCTTTTTTCAGAAATGTTACTCCCAGAAGGAATTTTCTCAAGTGCTTTGTAAGAATACATCTTCTCCAAGTTAGACTGCTTTCCAACACGTAAAATCAATTTGAAGAAAATTACAAGTTTAAAAAGCATTTAAATGTAAACAGAAAACATAAAATCTCATAATGAACATTTTCCCTGACTAATCAGGTCATCAAATAAATTAATTTAAAATAGCTCTTAAATTAGCAACTTCTAAGATTCTTAGAGGCAGTTTACTATATAACCCTATGTCTCATTCTTCTCAAAAAAAAAAGTCTTACAACACACAGCAAGAGCCTGTTATAAAATTGCTTCAAATATATTCTGTGTACTTTAATAAAGCAGAAAAAGGGCACTAGAAAATTTAATCTATCACATTTGTCCATTATCCATGTTTTAATTAGCTAAAAATCTGCCTCTGCAGAAATTCTTACTATCCACGGGTTATCTACATCACAACAAAGCAAAAAGTCTATGTGTAGTTTTAATGAAAATAATTAGAAATGAGGCTACTTTTAACCAAGCATTATAATATATTTAAAACTTAATTTTTCCCATTTGTACAATAGTTATATACCGTCTTTAATACGTGTGTGCTCTTACCTGTCTAGGGCTAATTATAGAAACAACATTCTCTAAATAGCTAAAAAAAAAAATACTCCAATTCAAATGAGTCACAAAAAAAGCTTAAAATAATCTAATTCCTTTCTTAAATATTTCAGAACTAATGTTCTATAAATCATATCACACATTGTGTTCATTTCATTTATTTCCAAGTTATACCACTTTTCTCTCTAGGTGGAGACGAATTAAAATATAACATTTTAAATCAGGAGCTGAATCAATAAAGGATGAAATAAATAAGGACCATCTTTTTGAAACACACCTTCTTCTCTGCAGTTAATTCAACTGGTATTTGATTAGAGGAATGCTGTTCAGTGCCTGAAGACAAAGCTTTCCAACTGAAAAAGAGTAAAATTAAATCAGCTCCAATGTCAAAATGCAATTATCTAATTCATAAATCATCATGCTGCACTTTCAGGAAAGTAGATAAGATTATATCCCTTTTAGAACTGATGATTTTTAAAACTAATATCTGTTTTCCAAAAAGGAAGAAGTTTGGAAAAAAAAACAGGATACATGATTAATAATATGTAAGGTACTAAAAAGTAAGGAAGTTGCTAAAACTTCTTGCCTTCTCTACACATAAGAAGCAGACAGGGTACATGCATTCTTCTCATTCACCTCATTGCTTCTTAATCAATACAAAAGCAGTTTCTAAATAATACGTTCTTTTTCCCATGGTTCCCTTTCTCTAACAAAGTATGTTCAAACAGTCAGCTAACTTCATCTGAGTGGTATCTGCAAGTTGGTATAACTTAAATCATTGAAACAACAATAGAAACCCAAATGTAAACAGAAAAATGAACCTTGGCAGAAGAAACTTCTTTGGACACAGTTCTTCATTAGGTTCAAGAATAAGTCTCTGAGGAGATCCTTTATTGGCTTTATCAAGCCAATTTCTACCCTATCAAAAGCAAGAAGAATCTTAATGCATAGTAAAAATAAGTTGAAGTTCACAGGTAGTTTTCTATAGGGCTTACCTTTTTTGTAAGGATGCAAATCTTTACAAATTTATTACTCCCAGGAACTTCTACCAAGAATCCTTCTGTCATAAGGTGACGGGAAAAGGCTTTCCACCAACTCTCTGTTTCATCCTTGCCAGTGCCAAAAAGCTTGTGAGAGCGGTATCTATCTGCAAGACGCTGAGAACTCTGAAATTATAAAGTTAATCTTTCAAAATAGGTAAAACAGTTTTTATTGAGTTTAAACAATAAATTTTGGCTTTAAACTGTACAAAATTTTTATAATCTTCTGAATACTCAGAAAGAGCGATAAAGAAATAATGATAGAAAAACACATGTTTGAAATTTCTCATTTTGGAAAGCTAAAAATTTGTGATGCAAATAGTTTTAACACAGGCAGAACAAGATTATATACTTCACTGAAAAGACATATGACCTTAGAATTTCAAAATCTTCCTGAGCATATAATTGAAAACAAAGTATGTTACATAAATAAAAATTAACATATATGAAAACCTGGCACCAGTGACTCATGCCTAGAATCCTAGCTATATACGGGGCTGAGATCTGAGGATCAGATTAAGGTCTGAAGTCAGCCTGATCAGGAAAGTTCAGACTCTTTTTTTTTTTAATATGAGTTTTTTATTGTAAAAATACTGTACAGAAGGGTTATAGTTACATGAGCAAGGTAATGAGTACATTTCTTATCAAGCATTGTTGCTCCTCCTTTGTTTTTCCCCTACCATCCCTTCCCTTCCACCTCCACTACACTCCTCCAGCCCTAAATTGTAAAGTTCATTTTTCAACACAGTGTCTTCTACATCTCATTGTTGCAATGGGTCAACCTGTATCCCTATTTAAACATTTTGTTTTTTCCCTTCCCCTCCCCAAATTATACCAACATCAAATACAGTGAAAACAGGGGCTATACCGTGGGGGAGGGACATACAAAGCAAAAAAAAAAAAAGAAAGAAATTACATTGTACCTTATAAATACGTTAGAAACAATAGCAAGCAAGAAAGAAAAAGTCACTTGTGTCCCTATCTTGGAGTTCACTTTGCTTAACTTCATTTTATTTGGTCATATGTACATAGCTTTTGACCTTTTCTACTTGTCCCAGCCATATGCTAGTTATTGCAAATAAGGGAAACCATGGGACCTATGTTTCTTTGGGCCTGGCTTACTTCACTTAATACAATTTTCTCCAAGTCTTTCCATTTCCTAACAAGTGGGGCAATGTCATTCTTTCTGATGGAGGTAATAGAATTCCATTGTGTATATATACCACACCTTCTTGATGCATTCATCTATGGAGTGGCATGTGGGCTGGTTCCATATCTTAGCTATGGTAAATAATGCTGCAATAAACATTGTTATGCTGGTAGCTTTAGTATGGTATGTGTATGTAAGGGTGTTTTTTTAATCTCTTTTGACCCTTTGGTCCTTTCTTTCTTCCTTCCTTCCTTCCTTCTTTCTTTCTTTTTCTTTTTTGCATGACTTAATCTTTCATGAGACTCTTAACTCCCAACTAACCACCAAAGAGCCAGCAGTGGAACTGTAGCTCAAGTGGTAGAGCATTAGCTTTGAGCACAAAAGCTCTGGGACAGCACCAAGCCCTGAGTTCAAGACCAAGGAGCAGCGTGTGCACAGGCCAAATGTGTAGGCTTCCAAAGGAATGGTTAACATATTCTATAACCAGTTTTCTATTAAATCTTAAAAATAAAAACAGACTATTCAAATAGCGCCCAAGCCCAGAGTTCAAGCCCCACAGCCAACAAAAAAAAGGTAAAAAAATAATAATAAAAGGAACCCTGTCCCTGTGCTCTTCAGATTAAGGCAAGTGATCTACTGCTTGAGCCACAGCACCACTTCCAGTTTATTGGAGTTAATGAGACTCATGGACTTTCCTGCCCGGGCTGGCTTTGAACCGTGATCCTCATATCTCAGCCTCCTGAGTAGCTAGGATTACAGGCGTGAGCCACTGGTGCCCAGCAGGTTCAAGCCCCAGTACTAACACAAAACAAAATGAACCAAATCTCTCTCTCTCTCTCTCTCTCTCTCTCTCTCTCTCTCTCTCTCTGACTTACTGTTCTGGTAAGTGAAGAATATCTTCTTAAAGAAAGACACTAACACTGGAATAAAACATTTGTTAAAACAACTCATTTTATCATAAAAGTGCTTACAAAAAAATATCCTAAGAAAAGCCACCTGTCTTCAAAGAGCATCTGATAAAAATCCATCATATGTTTAAAGGGATATTCAAGAAAAAAAATATATATATATGTCATAATGACCCAACTTTAGTAAATGAACCAGGCTTGGTAACTCTTGACCCAACTGATAAGGACAATAATAGTGTAAAAGCAACAATGATTGAATATTCCAGATGTCCAAAACTCCCAATCCTACTTTTTCACCATAAATATCCCTGATACTAGAATATTCAGTTCCAATCTTCTTAGGTATGGCTGCACTCACAATTGGGTATGTACTTTCCTTTTTCCTCTTTCCTTTGCTTCTAAGCTTCTTTTTTTTTAATTTTTTAAAAATTGTGACTCCCAATGTTTCCTAAAATTCTTTTCTGAAACAACATTACAAATTTGGACCCTAAGGGAGACCTTTCCATTTTGGAGAGCTCCCTAGAGGCGCATCAGTTCCAATAACAAAAATAATCTTTTTAATATATATTTTTATTAGAGTGTATTAATTGTACAAATGAGTTTCATTATATTTCTATACATGCATATAATGTACTTCAAATTCACTCCACCTTTTCATTCCCCCTTCTCCTTTTAAAATAATGTTTCATAGGTTTTATCAATCTATTTTCTCTATTTTCAAACATATAGAGAGAGTACTTGGAGTCTATTCACCCTCTATAGATTCCTCTTTCACCCTCAATCTTCTAGCTGGTTCTCACACCCTAACAGTATTACCTTATGCTGGGGCCATAACAGAGTTTATGTGTTTAGGAAGATGTTCCATTTAATCGTGGCTATGCAAATTAATGTCTATGTTTCTGTTTTCTACTCTATAATATTAAGGTCATTGCTTATCATATACTCCAGGGTGTTTAAGGATTTGTATACGGTGAGTTGTTTAGTCAGTTAAAATGAAGTTCATTAGGCAACACTTTAACTACTTAATCTCTACTCAAACTTGCTTTAAAGAAAATTTAAATCTACTCACAACTTATGGACAAGCTGCATAAATATTTATACTATTCAGAAAAATCTTGTGTAAGAGAAAATGATCATGTACATATATATTTTATGTACATGTATATTTTAACTTTTTAAAGAAACTCCAATAGTTCTCAGTTTAAGACACATCATTTTACACATTAAAATTATTTACAAAGAAATTAATTTGTCCTAAATTGGTTAAGGAGAACAATTTGGTAAATTCTCAAAAGAATTACAATTATAATTTTTTGAAGCAATATCCCAATAGGTAAGATCACTGAAATGGGGCATGGGAGGGGGACTTACCTTATTCTTCATACAGTTAAGGGGCACTTTTTAAAAAAGTTTTATACTTTGTCTAGCAAGGGTAGTATAAAATTTCACAAAGGATAAACTTCTTAATTTGAAGACTCCCAGAAGACAATGTCAGTATAAGCAACTTGGTTTTCAAATAATAGGTGAAATTTGATCCCCCTTGTGACCACTTCAAGTTTCCCAGCCTGCTTCAACTTATTTGTTGATACTGAATATGGCGGGATTATACCAAATTAAAACAATGTTTTATAAATGACACATTTACAAATGGAATACACAGGTTTTGAAGGAGACAGAAGAAATTTTCACACATCGCAAGCATATTCAAGGTGTTCCTTGCAACCTAAGATTTTCTTAATAAAAAGTATCAGAATCACACAAATACTTTTACTACTAAGTTTCCAATCAAATATGTGATTTAAGAACAAAATCTTAAACTCCTTTCAGTATATAAGAGAAAGAACAAAACAACAGGAGTTTTACACATATTTTCATCATACACCATTAAAAAAATGTCACAACTGATGATCCTTTCTACAGAAAATTAAAAAATACACAAAGCATGAGTATTTAATGAATGCTTACCTAAATTTTTTTTAATTCCACATACAAAATGAGATTTTTAATCTTTATGTTTTATAGCTGTTTTAATATACTATATAAACATATTTGTAAAATAGCCTATCTTCTACTCTTGATTTATTAAACTAATAACAATATACAATACTTAAATTTGTTTTTCACATTTCTAAATCAAGAATAAACAGTACAGAAAGCTTCTTAGACTATAAATAAACATCATATTCATAGCTTTAATTTCTTAGCATAAAACTGGCACACTATAATTATTCAAAAAAAGAAAGTTCTTGCTCATGTAATTGTAACCCCTCTGTATGATATTTTCACAATTAAAAAAAAGTAATTGGAATTTTACTGATAAATATCCACCAGTAAAACAAACACAAAAACAGAAATGAAAAACTTTTCTTAGAATGTTAAACACTTTGATAGGAAATTAAAGGAAAAAAAAAAGAATATGCTGTCATATTATTACTACTAAACATAGACAATAACAAAATAATTCCTGAAATAATCTTTTGCACAAAGAATTTAATAGATTTTGGGCACCAAAAGATACAACTTTGTCTTACCAGTCCCCTGGTATAATGAGAGTTAACTTTCCTTAATTATCCTAAAGTTAGTCTGGGGATTCACTTACTTCATTCTCATCTGAGGTGCAGAGCTTAAACAGCAGTGACAGATGTTCAAAACAGCAATGCATAATACACATAGCATTGTCAAAGTATTGAGCGCACAGTTTAGCTAAAACTTCCTATGGCTCAATAGCTCATGTGAAACCAAAGCAACAATCATGTACACAGCAAACCTCTGTATGAGTTGACAGAAAAATAAAAGAACTGTGAAGGTTATTCACAGTTATACTTACAGATCCTCGGAGAAATAAAATTGGAACCCCAATGCCAAATTTTTCCTCTAAGATGTCTACAGCAGATAGTAGCAGGAATGCCTGTCGACCAAAGTCCTTTGATGTCTCATCCAAGTCATTAACAGTGTAGCAATGACTTAACCTAAATACAAATAACATATACTAAGAAAGTATAAACAAGGCACTTATCTTTAGAAATAAAAAGATTTAAGCTGAGCCAGGTGACTAGTACTTGTAATCCCAGCCATGTGTGAAGTATAAAGGAGGATTGTGGTCCTGGCTGGCTGGCTAAGCCATGGACCCCATGTGAAAAAAATAACTAAAGCAAAAAGGGTATGGGATGTAGCTCAAGTATCAAGAATGATTGTCTGGCAAGTACAAGGCTCTGTGTCTAAAATCAGTATCATCAGAAGAAAAAATGTTATTATTATTATTTTCTTTGGACAGTCATGGGGCCAGAACTCTGGGCCTGGGCACTGTCCCTCAGCTCTTCAGCTCAAGGCTAGCACTCTACCACTTGAGCCACAGCACCACTTCTGGCCTTTTCTGCTTGTGGTGCTGAGGAATTGAACCCAGAGCCTCATGCATCCAAGGCAAGCATTCTACTACTGAGCCACCCTCCCAGCCCCTAGGAAAAAATTTAAAAAGAGGTTTAGTGTAACAATTAGCCAAGAAAAAAATATCTCCCACAACAAGTGATTCAGAAATAAGCAGTTTATTACAGACAAGTGTATGAGAAGTATCTAACATGGGGAATAAATAACAATATAGCCTTACAGAAAGATGTGGTAACTTCCTTTAGTGTGCCAGAAGGCAAATTTCATAGAAGGTACCCAAACCTTAGAAGATTAAAAAAAAGTTCAAAAGAAGCTGAGCGGCAGGACTATACCTAGGGAAGCTCCAGCTCATCAGTTATATACCTCTTGAGCTTCTGTGCTTTGCTGAAAACAAAAAAACACCCAGTGCCTGCAAGGAAATGGATGGACCTAGAATAAATCATGCTATGTTAGGTACGCCAAGCTCAGCAAGACAAATGGTACATGCTTTCTCTCATATTCGAAAGCTAGACCTAAAATACATGGGGACATGGTAAATTATACAGGAGTCTAGGCATCCACACACACAGTGAGATACTCCTAGCAATGCCTATGTGCAATTGATCATATAAAATATTTATCAAAATAAAAATAGCAGTGCCTTGCTCTACCACTTGAGCCATGCCCAACTCTTTTTGCTTTAGGTTATTTTTTTCAGGTAAGGTCTTGTACTTTTGCCCAGCCTGGCTTGGGCATAAGTCTCCTACCTATGCCTCCAGCGTATCTGGGATTACGGTTGTGGATCACCCTACTCAGCTTGTTTGTTGAGATGGTGTCTTGCAAATGTTTGCCAGACTAGCCTTCAACCACAATTCTCTTGATCTCTACCAACCAAGTAGTTGGGATTAATAGATATGACCCACTGCACTTGTCCTAAAGTGTTATTTTAAACTTCCATAAACGTAAGAACTTTCTATCAATCAATTGAATTATAGTAAGAAAGAACTTGATTACCAACTCACTCAGATTTTGAGATAAGCTATAGTCTAATGTAAGGGTCAGAAACCTTTTCTGAAAGGACAAAATAGTAAGTATTTTAAGCTTTGTGATAAAGCTTTATAGACAAATAACTCAAGCAGCTATATTAACCAAAAGAACATAGCTGTGTTCCAAGGAAATTTGGCCCAGAAGCCATAGTTTGGCAACCCCAGTTCTAATAATCAGTACCTATATTCACTCCATTATGTTTGAGATGTGTAAATCCTCCTTCAATGATTTGCAATCAGTGGGCTACAAAGTGATTTTATATATGCTAAGAAGTTAATTACCCCAGATAGATCTTAGGGTAATGGACTCTAACAGTTACCCCAGTGTATTATAAAATAATTATCATTTGCTCTAATGGATCATAAAGCAAAAATATTTGATATACATTGATTTTGTTAATTTGAATAAGGTTCTATATGTATGAATCTGACAGATCAAACTTATTACTAACTTGATCAAATTTTCTATTTCATTAATTTGTGATTGCTTAGCATTACAAATAATTGAACTCTCCTAATTTTATGAATTTATAGATATATTTCAGCTTTTTTGTCAGTTTGTGCTTTGTTGCTTTGTGTGTATAGAATGAGTTTGTGTTCTTGGTAATAGAACACTGTATATACAGAATATCTCTGTCCCTAATGATACTTCAAATTGTTTAATAGTAACACAGCTACACCTACATATACAGGTAATCCTATAGGCATATCATTTGTTTTTATTTTATTTTTCAATTAACATAGTTAAATTGACTATATTTATATAAAAAGTTCTACAAATTTTAACACATTCATATATTCAGATGCAGGGTTATCAAAGCTTAACCACAATCAAAACACAACAAATCCATCACTCCAAATTCCTGCTTTGCACTATCCTTTTGTAAAGATACTATTTCATTCCACTTGGTCCCTGGCAACCACTGTTCATTTCTTCATCCCTCTAGTTTATCTTCACATTTCAGGGAACACCATAATACTATACTGCAAAAAAAGTGCTATTCTTTTAAATGTTTGGTAGAATTTGTTATTCATCTGGGCCATAGAATTTTATTTTTAGAGGGTTTTATAACAAGGAATTAAATCCTTCCAATGGTTATAAGACTATCTGTTTCATTATATATGTATTGTTAGTTTGGGGTAAAGGAATTGGTTCATTTTATCTACATTATTAAATACACTGAATTTTTCATAATATGCTCTTCTTATCTTTATTAATGCTCATGAGGACCATAGCAAATTGTCTCTCTTGGTGTTTTTTGTTGTTGTTGTTTTTTGGTCGGTCGTGGGGCTTGAACTCTGGGCCTGGGTGTTGTCCCTCAGCTCTTCAGCTCAAGGCGAGCGCTCTACCACTTGAGCTACACCACCACTTCCGGTTTTCTGGTGGTTTATTGGAGATAGGAGTCTCACGGGCTGGCTTTGAACCACAATCCTCAGATTTCAGCCTCCTGAGCAGCTAGGATTACAGGCGTGAGCCCCAGCGCCTGGCCATCTCCCTTGTTTTTCATATTGGTGACCTGAGTCCCTTTTTACTCAGCCTTATTAGATTATTTTTTAAATCATTTTCATTAACTTTTATCCATAGTAAGTTTTTGGATTCACGAATTTTCACTACTTTTACTTTTTATTTCATTTGCATATACTTGTATCTTCATTATTTTGGAGGGGAAGGTCCGGTTGTGGGGCCTGAACTCTGGGGCCTGGGCGCTGTCCCTCAGCTCCTCAGCTCAAGGCTAGCACTCTACCACTTGAGCCACAGCGCCACTTCCGGCTTTTGTCTTTTTGCTTATGTGGTGCTGAGGAATCAAACCCAGGGCCTCATGCATGCAAGGCAAGTGCTCTACCACTGAGCCACCTTCCCAGCCCCTCTTCATTATTTTTATCCTTAAGCTTCCTTTTGGTTTATTTTCCTCATTTGTTTGCTTCCTAAGGTAGAGCTTATTGATGTGAAGCTGTTGTCTTTTATATTGTTAAGATTTAGTTCTGTGTATTTTCTTCCCATATTTTATTATTTATATATATTTACAATTATATATATTTATATTATATTTTCATTTTCATTTCATTTCATTCAAAATACTTTCTAATTTGCTCAAAGATTTCCTCTTTGACTGGAAGATAAATTAAAAATGCTAATTAATTTCCAAGGATTTGGAACATTATGTTCCTCTTATTGCTTGCTAATTCAATTCCATTATTGTAAAAGAAATTACCCATATAGAATATTTTTACATTTTTAAATGTTTTTTACTCAAATAATGATCTATGTCCATGCATAATTCAACTGCCCTTGAAAAGAATGTATTTTGATGCTATTGTATAGAACATTCCATAAAAATTAATTACAGCCATTTTGTTGGTAATCTTGTTCATTTCATCTATCTTGCTATTTATTTTTTTATTTTATTACTAGTCTAACAATAACTTCAAAAAGATGTTGAAGTTACCAACTGTACTTGTGGATTCCTCTATTTCCCCATTCAGTACTCTTAGTTCTTGTGCTCATAAGTACATGTACACTGAGAATTACATCTTTTTAGTTGTGATGGTTACTTTTATGTATTAAATTATCTAGGCTATGATGCTAGAAGTTGCTTCAGAAGTATTTTGTACACATGTGATTAGCATTTATAGTCATCTGACTTCAAGAAAAAGAAATTACCACCAAGATTTTGCTCAAGTCTGAGCCAATCGATTGAAAGCTTCAGTAAAAAGTGACATGTAAGGAACAAAAAATTCTACTTTAATACCAAGTCTTACATGAGTTTCCAGATTACCTATAAACTGTAAGACCTGCCAATCGCCACAATCCAAGTAGGTAAGCCAATTCCTTAAAATTAATTCATCACATCACTCTTCACTCTTCTCCCTTGCTTCTTCCTTTCCTCTATCCATCCATTAATTACTGATTCTCCTTCACTGGGAACTCTAAACTGATAAAATAGTGAAATACTTTTATATCACACAAAGTCTTTCTTTAGACCTGGTAATATTCTTTTGCTCCAAATCCTTAATTGCTCAATACTAAAATAATAATTCAACTGTTCTTTAAGGTAAATTTTTCAAGGAATACGCTTCCTTCCTTTTGTACAGAATTATACTTGCAATGGGCTTCTAAGGACATCACGTTAGATGGGTATGTTAGATCCATAAATTGAAACAATCAATTTTGATAATTTTTAACTTAAGTGGTATCCCTGAACACTTAATAGTTTATAACTACTGATGTGTTTAGATTTAGGTCTACCATTTTATTACTTTATCCACTATATAAAGTACTTGAAATTGTTTGCTTTATAAATAATTTCCTTTTTAAAAACTAAAATATGTAACATTCATCAAAAACACAAATGATTTTTTTAAAAAGAGTAAAGACATTTAGAATGTCTATCAAAAAGAACTCTTTACCTGGACCTGCAATTATCACAGCATTTTTCAGTTCCCATGATGCCCAAGGAAGCCTTTCTTAGTTTTTTGTCCTCAAAATGAGACAAGATGATTCTGTCCAAAAGAAAAATCTTAATTAAATATAAGAACAAATATATACATATAAAAAGCATTGATAATTGTTAATACATGTAAAAGGCAGTAACTAATTTATCTGGGATCTCATTATATGACTTGTTTATTCATACAATAAAAGTTGTCCTACAAATTGAAGAGAGACTCAACAAATGGGATTACCTTAAAATAAAAAGTGTCTGCACAGCTGAAGACATAGCAACCAAACTAGAAAGACAGCCAACTAATTAGGAAAAAATATTTACCAGCAATATATCAGACAAGGGCCTAATATCCATTATATACGGGGAACTCAAAAAACTAATCCCTCCCAAACCCAACAAATCAAGAGAGACTTCTCAGAAGAGATAAAAATGGCAAAGAAACACATGAGGAAATGTTCACCATCCCTGGTTGTAAAGGAAATGCAAATAAAGACAGCCCTGAGATATCACATTACTCCACTCAGAATGGCCCACATCCTAAAGTCAGCCAACGACAAATGCTGGAGGGGATGTGGAGAAAAAGGAACCCTATTGCACTGCTGGTGGGAATGTACACTTATACAACCACTTTGGAAAGCAGTCTGGAGGGTCCTTAGAAAGCTAAAGATTGACCTCCCTTATGACCCAGTCATACCACTTCCAGGCATCTATCCTGAGCAACAGGAACCAGGATACAAGGACACATGCACCTCCATGTTTATTGCAGCACTGTTCACAATAGCTAGGATATGGAAACAACCCAGATGCCCCACCACAGATGAATGGATCCAAAACTTGTGGTATCTATACACAATGTAATATTACGCAGCCATTAGAAAAGACAAAATAATGGCATTCGCAGGGAAATGGATGGAGCTAGAAGAAATCATGTTGAGTGAGGTAAGCCAAGAGACAAATGGCACATGTTCTCCCTGATGATAAGTGGATGTTAATCCAAAACCTAAGGAGATACTACAAAGTAAACAAGTCTTGAAAAGAAAGGACCTTCACTCATCTGGTCGAATCACTACTAAATAACGCCATGCCGCTGACTACATATATGGTATATATGTGCACACTGGAGGGAAACTAGGAGGAGGATACAGAAACAGAGGGAAATGGGAAAAGATACAACAGTGGGACCCATCAGCTGCACTGGTCATCGATCAAAACAAACTAAGCATTTCAATGGCAACGATGGGAGGGAGGGAATGAACAGGAAACAGGGACCAGCTGACACTAAGCAAAAGGAAAGAACTGAACATATCACCCAATGTCGAAGAAATAACTGTATTGTCAAAGCTTATAGAAGAACTCATAAACTTATAGACCACAAAAAAGAAAATTTGTCCCATGAAGGTTAGAATGTGTTTGTGACTTTAACTAAGTATCACTATCCCACAATACTACGAAATTTGGGAAATTTATGTAATCACTGAATCACAATAAAAAAAATTGGTATAAAAAAGTCACCCTAAAATTTCAACACATACATAACAATAGCAAAATATTCTTTCAAAATACTATTTAGTAAAATATTCTTAAATGCCAGGCAGAAATTCATCCTTTTAAGTGATACGAAATAAATAATACATACTGTCGTCTACATTTGCTGGAATGAAGATACTTTTCCATCTTGGCCATCATCTTTAATTTATACAGTCGGAACTTTTCATTACGTATCTCAAACAAGTGGTGCCTGTCAATTAAAAATATAAGAGTAATGTGTATAACTGCATCAGCTACTTTGGTAACTTTATTTTATATGGATTATTTCCGTAATCTACACATTCCTGTCTGGATAAAAAATTTCTATTCCTTTAGGAAGTTCTTCTGTATTCCTTCTCAGTCAATAATCCCCAATAGAAGGCTAACCTTTTTGTGATTTTTCCTTTGAAAATATTCTATCTATGCTCAGTATTTTTTAAGCTGCTACTAAAAAAAACACTATATGCCTCATACTTGTTTTGCTTTGATTTACATGCCACACATTTTTTGGTTTCTAGTAAGCATTACACAGGAATTTCCAAGTTTTCAAAAAAAAAAAAAACAAAGCTGGCTCTTTATGTTATTTTCTGTGAGAAACTATATAAAGAATACTGAAAGAAGAACATCACTTACAACTCTTCAGTTTGGCCTTCTCTTTGTATTATGGTATTTGGAAACCCCAGGAAAGTATCATAATGCTGTTTTTTTTTCTCAACTGACTTTAGTTGGCAATTTTGCCATGATACTGACAATAGTTTTCAAAACATCAAAAATATTTGTTCCTGGTTTACAGCAATGTGAATGTTAGTGGCTTGCATCTGTAATCCTAACTACTCAGAAGGCTGAGATCTGAGGATCATGGTTCAAAGGCAGCCCTGGAAGGAAGGTCCCTAAGACTCTGATATCTAACACCAGTAAAAGTGGAGCTGTACAAATGACAGAATATCAACCTTGAGTGAACAAAATAAAGGGACAGAGTCCCTTAGTTCAGAAAATCACTACAATTTCAGACAATTAATCAATCGTAATGAACTAGATCTCCCCTTTATACAGATATTTTATTTTTGTATGCTTTTTTAAATCTAATTTTATTGTCAAGATGATATGCAGAGGGGTTACAGTTGCATTCATAAGGCAATGAGTACATTTCTTGTCAAACATTGTTACCCTCTCCCTCATTTTTCTCCCACTTTCCCGTACCCCTCCTCTTTCCCCCCTCCCACGTTGTAAAGTTCATTTCCAACATATTGTCTTGTGAATATCACTGTGCACTGGTTTGCTCTTTGTCCTTTATCCTTTTGTTGTTCCCTTCCCTTTCCCAAATCATATTAATGTATATACGAGACATAGGGTACCAAACTCAAATATAGTCACAACAGGGGATAAAACAAAAGGGGTAAAAAAAAAATGAAAGAAAAGTCATAACTTCACACAGCCCATTAAAGACAACAAAGAGAAAACTCATGTTTCCATATCTTGGAATTCATTTCAATTAGAATCATTTTATATGATCATATTGTGAGCCTCTGTTAGGACTATACTAGACATATACTAATTATTACAAATGATCGAAACCACGTAGCCTATGTTTCTTTGGGTCTGGCTTACTTCACTTAATATGACTCTTTGCAAGTCTTTCCATTTTCTTACCAATAGTGATGTCATTCTTTCCAATGGAAGCATAGAATTCCACTGTTATATAAGTATTTTAAAAGGAAAATAATTGGAAAGCAATTTGACAATAGAATTGTTTAGTAAATCAATTTTGAGTTCAAGCCAAATTACCATGCGCACACACGCACACACATAAAGTGCTGCTATAATTCATCCCGATTATTTGATACTGTAACTCATCAAATATTATGAGATTGTATATTACAAGAATTTCCAAAATAGGTTAGCATATCTTTCCAAGGAGAAATAAAAGTATAGGTAGAATAATTTCATATATTGTAACAAAACAGTAATTTAATGTAAGTGAAAATTCTGTACCTCACCAAAATTGAGCTTACTAATTAAAGTTTGACTATGTAACATTTTGTTCAAAATACTTGTACACACTTCTCAAGGAGTTCTGGAAAGTCAAAATGCACAAATGATCTGTTAATCAGAAATATCTGTCATTAAATAGACCAACCAACATGTATGCACTAGTTTCCAGGTTAACCATCTTTCTCCTTCTTCCAGGTTCAAGTGTAAAGAGCGGCATAGATTCTGTATGGATTTCCTGACACCACTGTCTGAGTAAACTGCTTTAATTTTCTATTAAATCCAATGTGATAATCATTTAATATATCTTTTTTTCTTCTTTGGTCAGTCATAGGGCCTGAACTCTGGGCCTGGGCGCTGTCCCTCAGCTCTGCAGCTCAAGGCTAGCACTCTACCACTAGAGCCACATCTCCACATCTAGCCTTTTCTGCTTATGAGGTGCTAAGGAATCGAACCCAGGGCCTCATGCATGAGAGACAAGTACTCTGCCACTGAGCCACCTTCCCAGCCCTTAATATGTCTTTTAAGATCCAGATAAACCAAATTTATATCTAATGATGAACCTATAAGATTATGATACAAAACACAATCTATAAATTTTCAGGAAGTTTAGCACAATACACACAAAAACTGGTAGCAATCAACTTATATTTAATATATTCCAACTTTAATAGTAACATACACAGCTGTATTCTTTCCCAGTGATTTGAAATTAATTCACAAAAGGGTTTATATAGACACTGGTATCAAAAGTATTGTTCTCTATAAAATGATGGCCTTATTGGCTATATGTTATAATGCAAAATCTATTTTGAAATTAAAAATTTATAGTAAACTTTTTACCTAGCTAGCTGTTATTCTTCTTAGGGGTCAACTAAGGATTCACTTCTTCAACGAAGCCTTCGCTGACTTTTTAATTGCAAATGCAAGTGCCATTATATATGTTCTTTTTTATAGTATTTAACACATAGAACCTATTAAATGGCACCTTTTTTTTAAAAAAAAAAAAAGCTCTTGATTCTTGAAATTTTCACATGGAAAAAGAGAACAGGGAAAGAAAACCTATGTATCCGTAGATGTATGATTTTCTAATTAAGATTCATCTTTCCATTACACTCCAAAATCCTGTAACTGAGACATGTGCCCTGGCTCTTTATGTCATTGAATTTCGAACATATCACACAGTTCTTAGAATGTATTGGACTAAAGAAACAACAATGAATGAGTATGCAAAACAATATTAGATACTTTCACTCATCATTTTAATAAAATGAATTAATATATCCATGGAATACCTCAATTTGTTCACTGACAAAGAAGCATATTTTGAAGCACTCAGTAGTTACTCTGTAGGATTTTTCCCCCTAAGAATCCCTTTATTACATAAAGACATAAAGTGATAATCCTGGCATACAATGGTTGCATCTAATACACTGAACACATTGAAATTCTTTTCTTGTATTATTCCCTAAAAATACAGTATAACAACTATTTACATACTGTTTATTTTATAATAAGCACTATAACAAGGTCAAGATGACTGCAAGTATATGGGAGGATATACATAGATTATAAATAAGTATTGCACCATTTTATATTATGATTTGAATATCCTTGGGTTTTTGCAAGATGAACTTTGCCTTTCCAATATAATCTCATAGAATTTAAGGGCCAAGAAAATATTTATTTCATAGTTACATAATAGTTTCCCTGGATTTAAACAGTACATACTAACACTTTCATGGCAATCTATCAGTACAGTGCAATATAAATGCTATACAAAGTAACAATGACTGAAACAGATGAGAAGATGGGAAGAAAAAATGTGTCTAATTAGAGCCCTGACTTAATTAATTTCCTACTCTATCTGAGGCATGGCTGTTAAGTCGTCTCTTCTATGTAGCAACACTTACTACAAATGTTCATAAATGGCCTCTGTTGCTTTCTGGTTTTGGTGGTTTGGTTTTGTTTGGGGGAGGGGCTTTACATGTATTTCTTGGAAAGACAGAAAGAAATCTGCAAGGTAAAAGTAATAACCTTAAATAAAGTTTACCTAGTTATGTTAAAGTCTGCTGGAGTCCAGAGTAAGTGACAAGAACTTTGAAGTCCATCGCGGCCTGCTCTACCAATTTCCTGATAATAGGATTCCATTTCCTTAGGAGCACCATAATGAATGACTCTGCGAATGTCAGCCTTATTAATGCCCAGTCCAAAAGCTATAGTAGCTATAACACACTGAGAATAAATAACAGTACAATTTGTCATATTTAACAGTACTTAAACTTATTATGAAAACAGAATTCATTCATTAAAGTCCCTGAAATAAAACTAAATTTAATATTTCAATGAATCACCTATAGTTGGAAAGACTATCTGCTTAGTCTACAGATTAAAGACCAGAAACTAAAAGATTTCTGTTTACCCTCTATAAGAAGTAGCAAATAAATTGGTCTCCCTAACACTTGTGAATATAAGATACATAGAGGCTCTTACAATATCTATTATATTCAATAAAACTTTTGCATTATTCTAAGTTCTAAATACCCATACCTGGTTTCAAGAATATTATTATTAAATTATCCTAAGATGAAAGTTTCTCAGTAAAGACAGCAGGAACATACATTAACCTTTGCATCTTTAGGATAAGAAAACTGATAGAACACTAAATGTATATGAACTTATTAAGATAGACAGATAGGGGCTGGGAAGTTAGCTCAGTGGTAGAGTGCTTGCTTTGCATGCCTGAGGTCCTGGGTTCAACTCCTCAGCACCACATAAGAAAAAAAAGCCAGAAGTGGTGCTGTGGCTCAAGTGGTAGAGCGCTAGCCTTGAGCTGAAGAGCTGAGGGACAGCGTCCAGGCCATACGACCGGACCCCCCCCAAAAAAAAAAAGATAGACAGGTAGAATCACTTGATTGGGGAAAGTTGCAGAAAGAATTGGTGATAAGAATACAGGAAATTAAACAGTGTCTTTCAAAGTATGAAAAATTAGAATACAAAAAGATGACCATGAAAAATAACCATAATATATTACTTGAAATAAAGATAAACATTTTGAGTAAAAATTGTAATTGAATAATATTTAACCCGAATTATGATATAAAGTTGGGAGGAAAAGTGGGTTTGAAATGCATGGACAAGGAAAGGAAGGAAAGTGGGAAGTATATGAGAGGGAAGCAGAGTGAGAAATTAATACATACGCAGAAAACTAACAAGCAAAGAATTCAGTATTCACAGTATAAGCAACTAAGGCAAGATGCAGCAGTAAAACCAAAAATTCATCTAAAAAGATCTGAAAGTGGGAAATAAGAAGGCATGAGGGGCTGATGGTTTTCTTTGAAAACATGACAGAACTATTTGTATGTATAACTGCTAAAAATTCAAGTGCTATTTTGAAAAAAAGACATGCTAAAGATGGATTGGGAGAAGGAAAAGGAGACAGAAAAAGAAAAGGATATAAGAAAAAGAAGGCAGAAGAAAGAAAATCATGGGAAGGGTAAGAGACAAATCAATGCAGGAATGAGTATGGTAAATACATGATTAGGGAAAAGATTAGGCAACTTGCTATATTTAAAAATTATTAAATCTGAATGAAAAGGGATTAGTATAAATGAAAGAAATCCCCTATACAAAAGAAAAGGTTAATAAGCAGCACAATAATTCTAATTTTAATCATATTTTCATATGAAATCAGCAATCTACCAACTCTATTCTCTAAGTATCTCTATATGCTTTTAGATATAAAAAATAAAATGAATTATTTACAACACTAACCTTAATCTAGGAAAGAAACTTACATCACCTTGAAAGAGCAAATAAAAATACAAAGACACAAAACTAAGTCAAGATTAAGGGTAAGTACAGAAAAAAAAATGCATACCTATACCCAAATGTGGTTGGATTTCATTATAATGATAGTAAAGAAAAAAACTATAAAACAGAAGGACCAAGACTCTAACCATCAAAAGAACTTGTCACTGGTGGCTCCAACTGTAATCCTAGCTACTCAGGGGAGTGATAAAAGAATAGTGATTTAAAAAAGAAAGTCCATAAGACTCTTCAAATAACCAGCAAAAATCCAGAAGTAAGGTGTGGTTCAAATGGTAGACCACCAGCTTCAAGCAAAAAACCCAAGCAAGAGCTTGAGGCCCTGAGTTCAAGCCCCAGTAAAGGGGCAAAAAAAAAATAGGCTGTAGTAATCTAAGATATTAAGAGCTATAGTGGTCACATCAATTCTACTTTTAGATCCACCAAAACTATGTCTATTATAAGAAGACAGGAGATGAATAATTTCATACATTTGTGCATTCAGTAGTCACTCAATAAATGGTCAATGGAAGTAATCCTAGGCCAGGCTAGTATCAATAGATGATTTAGTTTCATAATTGTGAGAGTTTGAGGACTATCAATGAAAATGTGCAGCCTTGGGCTGGGAAGTTGGCTCAGTGGTAGAGCGCTTGCCTTGCATGCCTGAGGCCCTGGGTTCGATTCCTCAGCACCACATAAACAAAAAGAAAAAAGCTGGAAGTGGCGCTGTGGCTCAAGTGGTAGAGTGCTAGCCTGGAGCTGAAGAGCTGAGGAATAGCGCTCAGGCCCAGAGTTCAGGCCCCACAACCGGACCCCCCCCAAAAAAAGAAAATGTGCAGCCTCTAAAGTATTTATAACAAAGAACAACTATAAGGGATTACCTGTTAAAACACCTGATGCCATAGTAGAGGACAACAATCCATACTAATTTATTAATCTTCATTATGTGGACAAAAATTTGAGACATTCTGCCATAGAAAGGGATATATACAGTATGTGTATGTGTGTGTGTGTGTGTGTGTGTGTGTGTGTGCACATTCATGTGCTTATATATGCATATATACATATGTACCTTCTAGAAATTAAGATATAATGAAAGCTCTTGCAACAGATTTTTAAGCCATATTTCAGAACAATCAAAGCTATAATGAAGCTAGCAAATCAGATGAATCAAACAAAAGAAATATGGATATAATTTGTACTCTTTCAGTGCTTAGAGAGATATTTTAATCTAAATGAATACTGTAACTAGTAATAACTTAGAAGAAATCATTACTCTGTTAAACTGGCATAAAGACTGATCATTAAAATTCACCAGTAATGACTAACAAGTTTTACTGACAGTTTTCAAGTCACCGAAACAATATAGTGAAAAGATACAATAATTTGGATAAAGCTTCTAAACAGCTGTCCCTATCTGTGGAAATAAGGGGAAAACTCTGCAAGAAGGGGAAGTTTCCAATAGCCTGGTCAACCACCACCCCTTTCAATTTTTTTCCTATAAGTCTCTAATAGGAATTTGTCACTGTCTTGTTAGTCATATTTTGTGTTACATTTACTCTTCAATTTCTCTCCTTCTAATTACTACAACCTCTTGTAGGACCTCTATAGCACAATGTCTTTGTATTTGCTGGTCCTTCTTGTAGTTCCATAACCAGTTTTCTTGTTCTCATCACCTAGAGGCCAGGTGAATTTAACAAACTCATGTTCAGGCTCTACTCAACTACCTTTGCCAGGAAAGACCATTCCCATTATGAACTGTACCTTACCAGAAATAATGTTTCTCTATATACAAAACCAATAGTAATTTTTCAACACTAGTCTGTAATCATGTATTCATACATGTTATTTTCCACAGTATATAGATTTCCTTTAGTGGAAGAACCACATTATATTCAACACAAAAAAATATTACTCAATAAATATTTGGTAACTAAGTATTTGAGAAATATTTGATGATCCTCGCACCTGAATTTCATCTCTCATGAACTTATGATGAATATCCTTCCTTGTTTTGAAATCCATGCCTGCATGGTATGTTCCACAGGCTAACTTCAGTTTTCTAAGTTCAACGGTAATTTGTTCTGTCATTTTTCTGGAAGGACAATAGATGATAGTTGGACCTTCAAATTCCCAGGCAGAACTATGGGGGGGAAAAGAACAAAATGCAAACATGTATTATATATATATGCTTTAGATCAGTTTGGTTTTCTGAGAAGATATAAAGTTTGAATTAAGAACTTCAGGTTTGTTAAGCATGGCTCTATCCATGTCTTATGTGGCTTGCTTGCTTGCTTGGCTGGCACTCTATCACTTCAGCCAAGTCTCCAGCTCTGCTTTTTTGCCAGTTATTTTAGATGCAGTCTCACAGACTTTCTGCCTGGGTTTGCTTCAAACCACAATCCTGAATATCTGGGCTTCATAAACAACTAGGATTACTGATGTGAGCTACTGGTACCCAGCTGTTCTACTTATTTTTAAGAAGTGTGTCTCATGAACTTTTCACTCAGACAGGCCCCTAACCACAATCCTCATGCTCTCAGCCTGCCACCTAGCTAGGATTACAGGCATAAATCTAATTCACTTTGGGTTTTTTTTTTGTTTTGTTTTGTTTTTGTTGGTCATAGGGATTGAACTCTGGGCCTGAACGCTGTCCCCCAGCTCTTCAGCTCAAGGCTAGCGCTCTACCATTTGAGCCACTGCGCCATTTCCGGTTTTCTGAATGGTTTATTGGAAATAAGAGACTCACAGACTTTCCTGCCTGGGCTGGCTTTGAACTGCGATCCTCATATCTCAGCCTCTTGAGTAGCTAGGATTACAAGTATGAGCCACCGGCACCGGGCTTCACTTTGGATTTTATCTACTAATTTCCCTTTCTATTTTCTAAGGACTAAAAGAATAAAACATATAAGAAACTACACTTTAACTACATGAAAATCTAAAACACGGTCAATCAAATGAGGAAATGAATTTTGTTACCAAATAACTCAGTATTAGTTCAAATTAAAATTAATATAAAAACAAATTTATTTGATAAGAAAATTTGATTTTTTTGAGAAAATCTGATTTTTAAAACAAAACTATTGATATAAATACTTTTTGGAAATTAACACACTAGATTAAAATTTAGTCTTGACTTCCTAAGAATTAAGTGAATAGTTATCTAAGAATCTGCATAAAATTAGTTTCAAATATTCTTACTTACCTTCTCTATAAGCATAAAGTTGAGTTTCTTTTTCTAATTACTAAAACAAAATATGTCTTATTACTTTTAAGATTACTTTTATAGCTCATATAAGCACTTACTAATAATTTTGAGATTATGATTCTAGAAAATATTTGTTAGAATGTCTACTGCAGAAAATTGTTCTTAAGCTACAAAAACATAAACAATGGTTTTCATACATTTATTTAATATCTCAATATATCTGTCTATGTGAATATATTCATTCATGCTCACAGAATGTAAAAACACTGTATTTAGATCCATTAAAAGGTATTTTAAATTTTAAATTAATGTGACCTTTGATTCAATCCCAATTTTAGGAATCTTAAAAATACACCTGCAAATCTAACAAAAGATACATAAATAAAATTATCCAAGGAAAGAACATAGATAAGAGTGAAAAACTAATCTGATTGTGATGACATACACATGTAACCCTGGCCTTTGAAGGAGACAATGAATTTGAAGCCATCCTGAGCTACAAATGAGGCCTTATCTCAAGAAAAAATAAAATAAGAATAAAGGCCACTAGAAGAGCTAGACCATTAAGTATATATTCATTACACACTTGTTTTTCTGATTATATTACAACTAAGTTAGAAGAAGTCCCACATTTACATTTAATATTAAGGGCTTCCTTTAACCTAGGATTCATCTTTTCTTAATTTTATACCTTTCTAGAAGAGTAAAACACTAATGATGATCTCAAAATTGTTTGCCAAGGAATTTTTACATTTATATTGGAAGGAAAAACATTTTAACATGAAAACTAAAGAACACATTTCAGAAAGTGAAACTCTAAGCTTTATGCTTATCAGACAAAGAAATACTTAATAAAGTTCTTAGCATACATAAAAAATTCATTCAACAAAAAAAGTTCAGCCCAGCACTGGTAGCTCAAGCCTATAATCCTTGCTACTCAGGAAGTTGAGATCCAAGGATCTATTCAAAGCCAGCTGGAAAGTCCTTGAGACTCTTATCTCCAATAAATCACCAGAAAACTGGAAGTGGCGCTGTGTCTCAACTGATAGAACACTTGCCTTAAGCTGAAGAGCTCAGGGATAGCACCCAGGCCCAGAGCTCCAGCCCTACTGCTGATCAAAAATAAAAAACCCGCAACATTCTAGTGACAGTTCCTTCAACAGTAAAAGGAAAATAATACCTAAGAGTTACAAGGATTTAAATAGTTTAGTTGTAATTAAATGCATAGGACAGTCCTTGCGACATGAAAAGCTCCAACATGTTTAAAGAATGACTTTAAGGATTTGTTTTTTGGTTTTTGGAAGCACTGGGATTTGAACTAAGGACTTCAAGTGGGTCTTGTTGTTTTATCACTTTGGCCACACGACAAGCCCAAGGATGACCTTTTTGAAACCTAAAATTGAAGGTAGTAGTATAATTGGTAAAATAGAACTCAAATGAAAGGCTGAAATTATTAATATTATTATTTTCCAGTACTGAGCTTTAAGGGCCTTGTGTTTTCTAAGCTGACAATTTACCACTGAACCACAGCTTACAGCTGGTACATATTTAAGCAACAACACAGAATGTGCTTCAAAAATAGGCTTTTTCACTGGGCGCCAGTGGCTTACACCTGTAATCCTACCTAATCAGGAGACTGAGATCTGAGGATCACAGTTCAAAGCCAGCCCAGGCAGGAAAGTCTGTGAGACTCTTATCCCTAATAAACCACCAGAAAACTGGAAGTGGCACTGTGGCTCAGTGGTAGAGTGCTAGCCTTGAGCTGAAGAGCTCAGGGATAGCACCCAGGCCCAGAGTTCAAGCCCCAGAACCGACAAAAAAAAAAAAAAAAAACTTTTTCCTTAGTCACTGAATTAATCATCTAATAACACATTTTCCTCAGTCACTGAATTAATCATCTAATAACACAAACACACTTGACTGAAACCAAAGATAAAATTTAAAATACATTCAACATGTATAAAGGAAAAACCAAAAAATAATGTAGTTCTTAAAAAAGAATAGTTACCAAAATCTATCAACCATGAAATCCTTACCTTGTCTTTTTTACAAGAAATGGCTTCAAATCCTGAAGGATATTCCCTGTTTTTCGTCCCACTTCTAAATACAGATTTGGTCGATCAAAACCAGTACAAGTAATCCGTGGGTTTTTCAGGTTTAAACAACGTACTATGTCTTCTCGAATTGAAGAACTGGCAGTAGCTGTGAGTGCAACTACTGGAACCTAAATGAAGTAAAATTAATTTTTAACAAAGAGACTGTTAAAACTACATGAGGCTCCATATCAAAAATAAAAACTTTAAAACTCTTTTTTTCTTTGTGGTGATAGTGATCTAAGAATCACAATTCAAAGCCAGACAAAACAGGAAGGTCCAAGAGACTTATGTCTCCAATAAACTATTCAGAAATAACCAGAAATAGCACTGTGGCTCAAGTAGTAAAGCATTAGCCTTGAGCATAGAGAACCCAGGCCAGAGTTAAAGCCCCAGGACTGGGAAAAAATAAAAGAATAAAAGAAACTAAATATATGAAGTTTCCCATGTCAGTTATCTTGTCTTAACTAAATTAAGCCTACTTACTAGCTAACATAGCTTACGCTAAAATTACATATGCAAGAATGCTAATATAAACATGGGATATATTATATGTGATTTTTAATACTCTCTAATTCCGAAGTTACAAATTTCAATTCACTGAAAATCTAACAATATAAAGCACCTTATCTTTTTTATTTCTGTGTATATGTGTGTGTTATTATTTTGGCTTGTGGGTTTTCAGATCTTGAAGCAAAGATCCTAATTACCTGGATACAGTTTTACTAATCACTGGCATTCTATGTACAATTATATATAAATAACAGGTAATATTAGTTAATTCCTTAAGCAATAAATTTATATTCTAGTTTCAGACTAGCAAAAACATTAACTAGATATGCAGCCAAAGGACATAGCAGAAAAAAGATCATAAAGTATTACAGAAATTTGATAAGATGCCTTCTATAGGCCTAAATTTCACATTTTAGTCCTTATTATAAGGAGTTGTACTTAACTATGCTAACAGTTCATAATCAAAAAAATGGAGTAACAATGTTAAAATTAAGTCATGAGTAATCTTCAAGTTAATCTTTAATCATGAGCTGTTCCAATGCCAAGAACACAATTTTTTTTAAAAAATAACTACTGGAAAATCAGGCACTGGTGGCTTACATCTATAGTCCTAGCTACTCCGGAGGATAAGATCTGAGGATCATGGCTCAAAGCCAGCTCAGGCAGAAAAGTCCGTGAGACCCTTATCACCAATAAACTTCTCAGAAAAAGCCAGAAGTGGTACTATGGCTCAAGTGGTAGAGTGCTAGCCTTGAGCATAAAAAGGCTCAGGGACAGCACCTAGGCTCAGAGTTCAAGCCCTAGACCTAACAAAAAAACAAAAACAAAACTGTTGGAGCTAGAGGCTGGTGACTCTTATCTGTAATCTTACTCAGGCTGAGATCCTAAATATGTGGTCCAAAGGCCATTAAGAAAAGTCTGCAAAACTCTAATTCCAAAGCAACAAGGAAAGAGCAGAGCAGGAGGCATAGAAAATGGTTAGAACATCAGCGGAGAATGCAAACTGAGCAATCCTGAGGCTCTGAGTTCAAGTCCTAGTGCCATCTCTCTCCTCTCCTCTCCTCTCCTCCCTTCTTCCTCTCTCTCTCTCTCTCTCTCTCACACACACACACACATACGAATACTTTCTGCTAGAATTAATATATTCATAAAATTGTTCAGATATACATACCTCATAAACAAACTTAAGCAATTATATGTAGGTGAAAATTTATGTGCAATTGGCAATTTGAAAAGAAGCAATTATAGTGCTTCTTCCAAAACATTATAACAAGATACAATTAGTGGGGACAGGGAGGGTATGCTGAGTGTGACAAAAAATATATTACATGTATGAATATATTATAATAAAAGATGTAATTTTCTATCAATAATATACACAATTAAAGAATGTAATAAAAATTCCTATGATAAAAACATATTTAGCTGGGTGAAAATGTCTCACACCTGTAATCCTAGCTAGCCAAGAAGCTTAGATCTGAGGATCGTAGTTCAAAGCCAACCCAGCAAGGAAAGTTTGTGAGACTCTTGTCTCTAATTAACTACCAAATACCAGAAGTGGCACGTGGCTCAAAGTGGTAGAGTGGTATCCTTGTGTGAAAAAGTTCAGGGACAGTGCCCAGGCCCTGAGTTAGGTCAAGACCCATGACCAACCAAAAAAGAAAAAGAAAGAAAAATTATGTTTAGACAAAATGATAAGTACTGTGCAAACTCAGACTGATTTTTGTGAAACTTAGAAAAATAAATCTAACTTTTAGTGACACATACAAAAGAAGATATCCAGAAATGGAGATGAGGTTTTCTTGTTGCTATTTTTGTTTTCTTTTCTTTTAGTCTTCTTTGTTTATTTGTCTCTCTTTGGGAGGAAGAAGCACAGAAATTGAGGACAAAGCATGAACAAATAAGTGACACTGCAGACACAATGTTAAAAATGAAATATATCACTTGGGTGGGTAGAAAAAATTGGTAGAGAACAAGGGAAGGGTTGACACTGTCCAAATAGAAATGAACTTTTTATCTGACTTATTCAATTATAACCCCTTTAGGCATCACCTTTATAATAACAATTTTAAAAAATTAAATGAAAAAAAGCACAGATAAGGGGCTGAGGACTTAGCTTAGTGGCAGAGTATATGACTAGTATGTCTGAAGTAATGAGTATGACAGCCAGCACCAAATACAGGTAACACAAAGCAACTAACAACTGGTTCAGTTTGAATATAAAGAATAAATCATTGAATACATCAGACAACTAAAAAGCCAATTGATAAATAGTCATCAACTAAGTAAAACCCAACAAATAAATACAGAAAATGTGAGAAAGTAGGGAAAACAACTACTCTAGATAATAACCATCATACAGCAAAGGACAAGAATGACAGCAAAGTAGAGGATATTATATCAACTGAGCTCAAAAGACTGTTGCTAAGAATATATATTCTATGAAATGAATGAGGACCTTTACAAGCAACTACACAAACAGAAAAATACACAAAGAAATAAAGAAAAATACATTAAGAAATAAAGAAATAAATCAACAAGAACAGAGATAAAACACTGAATGAATCCCAAGTGAATACAAAATAGTTGAATGAGCTCAAAGAGAATACAGCTAAACATCTAAGAAACCAAAGAAGGCACAGATAAATTAATGAAGTAAGTTAGTCAATGCAAGATATTAAAAAAGAAACAAATGCAGCAGTGGTACCCACTTGCCACTATGCTGAAAATGAACTGTACTATACAACTTGTGAGTAGGGACAGGAGGGAAAATCTGAGAGAGAACACAGAAGGGAATGACACTGTCCAAAAAGAAATGTACTCATTACAAAAGAAAATGAAGAAATGAAATGAAAAAGGATTTCAGTAAAGAAATAGAAAACTGGAACAATAAACAAACTGAAGGCCAAAGATGACAAATAAAGCACAAATCCTTTCCAAAAGAGTAGAAGATATGGAAGTCAGAACATAGTAGAAATCAAAGGGAAAAATATGATAATATGCAAAATTTCCATTAAAAGATCAAATTTACATCATTTCAGGAAAGAAAACAAAAGATTCCAAAGGCACTGGAAATATATTTGACAGAGTAAAAGAGAAAGAAAAAGTCCAGCCAGGTTCAAGCAGCTTTTAAAACACTCAGTAGACCAGACCAGAAAAGAACCTATCCAAACATATTATATTTAAGAAGTCAAACACAGGGAACAAATAAAGAATACTAGAATTTGCAAAAGAGAGAAGAATAACAGTAGATTTCTCAACAGAAACCATGCAAACAAGGACTTCAAATGATATATTTCATAAACTAAAAGTAACTGATTGCCAACCCAGAATACTATCCTGTGAAGCTTTCATTCCTAACTGAAGAGCAAATAAAAATATTCCATAATAAAAACTAAAACAGAAGAAACTCAAAAAACATTCACAAAAGATCACCATAAGCATGAAAAAGTGGAGAAAACATATTCATCTAGATGAATAGATAGGAACAGGAAGAAATATGAAATTAAAATTGTGGGTAGAAATAGTAGGAAATACTACCTATCTCTCAATTCTGAAACATAATATCAATGGACTCTGTTCTCTATTCAAAAGATAGAATGGCAAGCTGGATAAAAAGGCAAGACCCAGCTGGGTCCAGTAACTCACGCCTATAATCCTGGCTATTCAGGAGGCTGAGATCTGAGGATCACAGTTGGAAGCCAGCCAGTCAGAAAAGTCCATGGGATTCTTATCTGTAATTAACCACCAGAGAACCGGTGGCGCTATGGCTCAAAGTGATAGAGCATTAACCTTGAATAAAAAGAAAAAAAGCTCAGTTCAAGCACTGAGTTCAAGTTCCATGACCAACAACAAAAAGGCAAGATGTAAACTTTTGTTGAATACAAAAAAAACAAAAACAAAAAAAAAACCAAATACCACCTTGGGGTAAAAGAGTGAAGAAGCATTTTCTAAGTATACATGTCCCAAAAGTAGGCAGGAGTAGTTATTCTCAGACATAGGAAAGCATATTATAAATCAAAATTAGAAGAGTGAAAGATACTTCATATTAATAACAGAAACTCTCAAATCAAACTGATACAAAAATTCTTAGTAACTACTGAGAGAAATAAATCAAGCTCAGAGCGAAGGGGTGCATGTTGAATTAAGGCTTAAAATATAGACATATATAAAAACATAAACAAATGAAGAGGGGAAATATGCAGCAAGAATCCAATATATATCCTTCAAAATTAAGAAGAATAAGGGAAGGGGGTGGGTATGGGAGAGACAGGTGAGAATGTTGAAAGGGGGGGCACTGATATTGTGTTCATAAGCTGTGTTAAATGGAAACTCCTTCAAGCGACTACCTACAAATGATTTTTACAAAAAATACATATACAATGACATATGTACATATACACAAACTAACTAAAGTTTGGTATATTCAAGGTTGCATTTCAATGGTGAATGGTGAACTCTTGTGAATAATTAACAGACAGTTTAACAAAATGAACACAAGAAAGTTGAGACATGTCTTACCTATATGAGATGGGACTTAAGGGTAGGGGAATGGATAATGGAGAGTAATGGCGTACAAATACAGTCATAATACTTAATGTACACAGTAAAAATAAAATTAGAAGACCTATGGGGATAGGACCAAAGAGCTGATGGGAGAATAATGGAAGGAGAGACTGGTCAAGACACGTTGTATACATATACAGACGTGTTAAGTGTGTAAGAAAATTTATTTTTACAATACTATTTTTCAAAAAAGTAACACAATACTGAAACAAATTAACTTGAGTCAGATTACTTCACTTCAAATCTTGCCTTTACCACTTACTAGATGAAGAAAAGAGCTGTTTAACTCTCTAAGCTGCCATTTCCTCCTCTAAAAAATTGGCTGTAATAACAGCATCAATCTAAGAAAGTCACTGGAAAGATTAAATGAGACAAAGCATCAATATAGGAAATGTGCTGAATATAATGTGTAGCATATAGTAAGCACTCAGTTTTAATTATTACTAATTGAAACAGTAATAGTGATAACAATTAATACTAACATTAATAATTAAAATTGCTGCTGGAACTACTTACAAGACAGTACAAAAACTTCTGAGACATAGGCACTACTCAGATTTGTCAATAACTTTGGTAAAAATGTAGTGGTCTGCGTTACGTGATTTGTTAGGTCCCTTGAATTAAAATTTTTCATTTTGCTTAGAAATTCCCCACTTCAATGGTAAATTGCCAGTGAAAATCACATTTAATTCATTCTTTTGCATATACAACATTCTAGAAAATCACAAGAATGTGGGGCACATCTATAATCCCAGCACATAGGTTGGGCCAGAAGGACTAGATGGATGTTCTAAGCCAACCTATGCTAGACAGCAAGCTTCAAAAAAAGGAAAAACAAAAAAAGAATGTTGCTCCTGACACTAAAAGACAGAATAAAGAAATGGAATACTTACAGAAACAATAAATGTTCACTTCAAAAATAAATTAAGCCTATCTTTTAAACTTTGTGGTATAACAAAAACTTAGAAACAAGGAGCTAGACACCATTGGCTTACACCTATAATCCTAACTGCTCAAGAGGCTGAGATCTGAGGATCACAGTTCAAAGCCAGCCAGGGTAAAAAAGTCCATGAGACTCTTGTCTCAATAAACTACACAAAGAGAAAGCAGGAAGGAGAGTTCTGGGCTCAAGTGGTAGAGTGCTAACCTTGAGCAAAAAATACCCAGGGAAAGTACCCAGTCCTTATGTTCAAACTTTAGGACATGCACAAAAAAGAAATTTAGAGATAGGAATGAAGCTTAAAATAACATAGGCAGATTATGTGAAGGATGACTATCTATACATATGTATATCAGTCATGCTCTGACCACTTGTAATCAATCACAGCATAATTACTAGTAGTCTAAACTGTTTAGTAACTGGTTGGATGTTAAATTACACTACCATCTAGTTGCAAGCCTACATTTCTTTGATAATAGGAACCAATTTTTGTATAAGATATGAATATTTTGAGTGTGCAAAATTAAGGTTGATCTTAATCCTGTATTTTAGTAGTACACACTTAAAGGTTGAGAGAACAACTATTCCATCTGCTGCAAAATTTAGGACATGCTGCTTCCTCTCTTTTCTCTATAATACACATAATTTATGCATTGATTCCCTCTTTCTAAATGGGTAGGGAGAAAGCAATAGCAAGAACCATTTTTCTTGGACCTCACAGTTTCTCCTGTTTGAATATGATGAATTGCCTCTAGGTTTACAATAGCTGTCCATAATAATGTAACTGGAATTAGAGCCACTACACCAAAACAGTGAGAAAAAAAGGATAGTCCTCAACCACTAGGTGGCATTTCTTATCACTTAGCCAACAGAGGATTCTTCAGCGCATCCTGTGTGTGTGTGTGTGTGTGTGTGTTGTGTGTGTGTGTGTGTGTGTGTGTGTGTAAGGGAGGGAGGGAGGGAGTGTGTAGAAGGGAGGGAGGGAGAG